CAAATCCAAACATTTCAACACACACTAATTAATTACTCCAATTGACCCACCCTCAAAAACGCAAATCAAAATGTCATCAACCTACCTGCGTACAACAACCCCCGCATTTGGTACAAGCCTAACAACCATGTAAATACTCCTCGTCTGCTTAACCGAAAATTGATTTAATAACAACATTTGTATTGTGAATTTGCTCCTAACGATTTTGATGTCAGTAGAAAAAAAATAAAACAGAGGAGGAGAAGTTGCAATATTGTATAGAAAGAAATTTAGTGATTGTGAATTTGAATAATATCCCTGGTGTAGAATGAGTATTTTGTAAGGACACAATAAAGGGTGCAACGTATCTCCTGGGAGTCGTGTACAGGCCGCCTAACTCTCCTATTTCTATTCTACAAAATTTAAGCAGTTATCTTGCAGAGCATAAAACGAAAAAAAAAAAATTTAATGTGGAGACTTTAGCTTACCTAACATAGATTGACTTAATTATTTCCCGGAGAGTGTTGACTTTGCACATAAAGAAGAACTGTAAGATTTACCTTTTACGTTGAATTTATCACACAAAGTGAGGTCTTTCACAAAAGTGCGATATACCTTGAGGCTTGAAGTCTATTCTAGATCTTGTTTTTTTCAGAAATCATTTAGCGAGGTTCTCCGCTTGTGAATTGGTTGCAGGAATTTCGACCAAAATGCTGTTCTTCTATCGCTATCGAACGAAATGATCAAATGTGACACTAAGGTCACCAATGGACTAGATTTTGCTCATGCTGATGACACTTCAATTTTAGGCACGCTTGATTTAAGCTTGATGAGTTTATTTTCCTCGCACCAGAGTTTATTCCTGATATTATCAAACTGTGGCTTAGATTTAAGAACATTGTGAGTCACTTCATAGAAAAATACGTACCAGTCCAAACTGCAAAACGAAGCCGAAATAAGCCATGGATATCTCGTGGGTCCATTCAATTAAAGCGTCAACTACGGCGATTAAAAGCTAAGTGTAACAAATACATAAATCAAACTCCAAAAGATAAATTTGTAGATCGTTTCAGTAAGCTAACAGAACAAATGAAGGCAGATAAATATAACTTTTGCAATGTTTTTCTTCCCAACTTTATGACGTCGTCACCTAGAAAATTATGGAGACACATTTTACCAACCACTACAAACACCAGCACGTTTACTGTCTAGGGTGCTCTTAAGATAGGCCACAAAAAATAGCTACTCTTTTTAATCTACAGTTTAAATTCGTGTTTTCATGTGATACTTGAATTATAACCCGTTATACCAAGTTTGACCACCTACCACCTCTTAAAAATGTACATTTGAATGAACAAGAAATTCTTAACTTTTTCTTAAATCTAGACCCACGCAAACCCAGTGGTCGAGACGGATTGCCAGACGCTTTTGAAAGATATACAGAGTATATCTCCAAGTACTTAATCATTATATTCAATATATCATTTTCAGAAAGTTAATTGCCAACCGATTAGAAGATGGCCCCAGAATTAAACTCCTACATAAAACTGGAAATAAAGAGGTATTGGCTAACAACAGACATACACCGTTAACTTGCAGCGTCTGCCAACTCCTTGAACACATTATAAATAAACATATCTTTTAATTTCTGGAACATATGACGTACCATCTAGCAGTCAAAATGGCTTCAGAAAAGGATGTTCCACGACAATTCAGCTGCTCGAAACTGTTCAGAACCTAGCTACCGTCTTACACTAGAAAAGTCAGGTAAACGTAATTTTTTATCGACTTCGCGAAAGCGTGCGAAAAAGTGTCACAATTAAAAAAATGTAACAATTAAAACTGGATTTATTTCCGCCTTGTGTTACGATTGATTTGCACTTTGTACTTTTATGCTTCGTTTTATGTTTTTCAACCCTGCTACGATCCCTCATAAGGCTCAGAAAAGTGAAATAATTACTTAAAAAATGATCAGATCGTCGGTCGGATACACTTCTATAATGGTAAGAACAGCGCAAAGACGCCACGGACAGAGGTGTACACAAACAAAGCGCTGATTTTCAACTGTTTAATTTCTGAAAAGGACTCCCACCGTCGTGCCCTCATACTTCCAATCCTATCATATCACATACGCCACATAATATCAACTGACCGTTGCGCCGATAACTGCTGATAAACGCAAGTTCGCAGTCATATAAACAAATTGAGGGAGAACTGGCACACTTATCTTTGTTCTTTGAAATAAGGAATGCTTCCGCAATCTCTCTAGTCGTCTTTTGATGCTGATTTGCAAGAATCTCAGTATCGATTACAGCAGGAGTGCACTCGCACCTATCACAGTGCACCGCCAGGTTTCCTGACGGTGACGACCTCATCGAGCACGCATGTTCCAGGAATCTGCCGTTTACACAACGGCCTCTTTGGCCGATGTATACCTCGTTAAAGATCAGCGGAGTACCATAAACCACTCCACCCACGGAAGGAACAAACTTGTTTTAATGCTGCTTAGCACAACCGGGTATAAGGGTCCGACCTCTGTCCACTCTCGCACATAAACGACCCAGCTAACCAGGGGCCGAAAAAAAAACAACAGGAATGCCGCGCCGTTGTGCCACTTTCTTTAATCTGTGCGCAACCTTGTGGATATAAGGTACCGCAACAGGTCTCTTCGTGGGCTTCTTACCCGTGTCACCCTCCGAAATACTCACTTTTTTTTAAGAAGCTCTCGGTCACACCTACCAGAAGGCTGCTAGGGTACCCACCCTCTAAAAATTTATTAGTCTGCCCGCAGAAACTCGTGATCATCTTGTGCGCTAACGACCTCATAAGAGACCCCCAAAACTACTAGTTACAATCCGTATTTTTATTACTTTAGAGTGGTTTGAATCGTATGGAAGAAAAGCCTTCTTCGAACTAGGAGAGTGACTCCAGCACACATGAGACTCAGGGATGGAAAGTTCAATTTCTAAAACTGTCAAAACTCCATCCTTCGGGTCCTCCCAGGTGAACTTCAATTAGTTAGAGTGTTCTTGTAAACACACTCAACAGATTGGATACAAGCGCACCTTACAAATCGTTATCAATATGCCATTAGTAATGAGTGTTATTCCTTGCTCTTGGTTGATTCTAGTGTACCTCAAGTTTTGCTACTTTCTCCTTTGTTGTTTTTGTTGTTTATCAACGATATTCCTGACGGCATTTCTTTTAATATACGTCTTTATGCTGACGACTGTGTGCTGTATAACGAAGTTGCATGTGTTGATAATTAAATTAGGCCCAATGATGATTTAAATAAGATTTTTAAGTGGTGTAATACCTGGCAAATGTGTGTAAACTATGAAAAAGTGTCTGTATGTCAGTGACTAACAAAAAGAAGGCCCTTTCATTTCCCCATCGTGTTAATGAGCGTATCCTAACAAAGGTGAGTTAATTCAAGTACCTGGGTCTCTAGGTCTGCCCTGATCTTAAGTACAAAACAACATATTAGGATTGTTTCCTCTAATACCTTCCCTAGGCTCTTTTTTCTTAGACAACCACTAAAATCAGCCACTACAGACACTCGACTTATAGCGTACAAAACTCTAATTCGCCCTGTTATTAAATATGCCAACATTATTTGGGACCTATTCAAACAAGTATTAATCACACGCAATGAATACAAAACAAAGCTGTCCAGATTCATTTCTAATTTCTATACAAAAGCTTCCATTTTAGAGCTTACCAAAAAGTTTGGGTTTGTCTCAATCCAAGCAAGGAACCGCGCATACGCAGACTTCGATTTTAATTTTAATTAATTGAGGAACTGTATAAAATTAACGTAGATAATATATAGAACTTTTTGTACTGGGTATGCCAATCGTGGAAGAAACCCGCTTACTATCACACCTTATCAACCGCGCAGCAATAGTTTCGAATTTCCTTTTTCCCCCGAACGGATGTAAAATGAAACGGGGTTTCTTACAAAACTACTAACCAAGTCCCGGCCAGTGCATTTGTTTCCACCTTGTGTTACGAGTGATTCGTGCTTTGTACTTTTATGCTTCGTTTTATGTTTTTCCACCCTGCTGCGATCCCTCATAGGGATCAGCAGTTATTGTAAAGAAATAAATAAAAAATAAAAAAGTTGTACACGTAAATTTTCGGCGAAATTTGGGCAATGGAAGAACCGACACATACTCCTCCCTGCTAAATAGACGGAACTCCTTCATACTCTATTACAGTGAACCTTAGGTAGAGCTCCACATTGCTTAAAAACTGTCTATATCAATGCCAGCAGTAGATTGAAACCTTACCAAATTGCCTTTACACCTTTCTTGCACTCGTACGAGCAATTCAGACTGTTTTCTTAAATAAAGTAACTCTTGATGTCTAGCGTTAACACTACAATATGTCGGCTAATGGGCATCTAATAAGCAATTCAGCTGCTACGAGTTCTTTAGTTGCGATGGAATTTCTATACCTGCGTAAAATTTTTGAAGAAATACCGACAAAACCATCTGACAAGCTCTATTTTCATGCACCACAACTCTTAAGGGAAACTCTTCCTTATAGTCCTTCACCAGGAACTTAACACTCAACGTCGACATCGCTACTTTTCCCAACTTTCTAAAAGCAGCTGGAACTTCACTGTATCTCTACAGTGATAAACATTCCTCTTGGCTTTCTTTAAGTCATCAGTGAAAAATTTAAACAACTTAGTGATCGCCTTGATTGCTTTCTTTTTGAACATCCTATCCCGTAGGATGGCAAACCTTCCCATGTTATCAAACTGAAGCAACGTCACATTCTTCTATTCAAGTTCGAATCTCAAGTTGTTCTGCTCCCGTACACGCGTCCTAATATTGACAGGCGGGTGAAGGAAGCACTGGTGACAAACACGCCAGGGACTGCGGAACCATGGCAAATGTCCAATGGCCTTTTAAGAACTAACCCGCTGCTAATGAAGCACATCAACTTAAGTGAATGGCAAAGCCATATCTGACCACGCGATAAGCTACCAAGCACTCCCGCATTGTTTCCAGTGACTGCTACCTGGTGGCACCGAACGTGTTCCGCCTCGGCTCCAAGGAAACGGTGGCGGTGGCGGTCGAAGGTGGGGCTGCTCAAGAGGTTCGAGTCAGCCTGCAGAAGCACCCGAATCAGCGGGGTGTCTTCTTCACCGAGACACGCACAGTCTCCCCAAGTAAGCCTCACCCTGAAAGAACCAACGTTGAGAGAGTCATTTGATCCCCATTGGTGGCCGTCAAGCATCAAGCTCAAGCTCTGAGTCATCTCGTAACATTTAAGACTGCAAAAAACAGCGTAATAGCGATTTTAATGTAGAAATGCATAATGCGTGGAAAAATAGTCACACCATTAGTTAGCTAATAAACTTTGGTTCACATAAAAAGTAAAAAAAAGAAAAGAAATGGCAGCGGCCTCTACCTTGAAAGTTCTATAATGCACGAAATACATTATAGGGCGAGGGGATTGATGCGTCATGTGACGTATATTTTCCCGCTAAATTTAATGAGGCAGCAGAATAATTGTATAGGTCAGATGACTGCAGGTTGCGTGACGTCACTTTTCCCAGCTAAATTTAGAGGGAAAACTGGATTGGTGTCTAGGCCACAAGTCGTAAATTGCTCGTTAAATTTAGCGGGTAACTGAATTGGTGTATCGCTCACGTGACGTCAATGTTTTCGCGAAATTTAGCGCGGAAACAGAATTTTTGTTTTTTGTCCCGTGACGTCAAATCACGTGACAGAGACTTTGCTGCTAAATTCAGCTGCGGAACTGATTTCGCGTACAGGACTCGTGATATCAATTTCCCTCCTAAATTTAGTGAGAATTGCATGGACTGGGCGGACAGACGGACGAACGGACGAACAAAATTTTGGGAGGGGGGTGTAGCGTTAAAAACCTTTTCATGCTTCAAAAAAAAACAAAAAAACACCAGCAACGAACGGGAGCTTTAATTCAGAGTCGTTGTCTGCCTGCTGAAAGAAATAAAATCAATTAAAACACATTCACACCATGAGCATGTAGAATACGAAAAGCAGATCTGCACGGGTGAGCGTATGAAAGCAAGTCCGAATAACCAAGCAGCACGTACCAGTGGATTGTCGCTACACGCAGGAAGGCCCGAAGTCTGGGATGTCGGCGTGGAGCTCGCGGACCTCCCCGACTTGACACTCGGCAAAGCTCCGGTTTACGTGACGCTCGAAGTCAAGTGTGGGTCTCTGTGGACCAGGAGTGCTCAAGTGTTGGTGAGCCCAAAGTCCGGAGAGCACCTCTTCTTGCAGACCGACAAGCCCATCTACCATCCGGGAAGCGCAGGCAAGTGTCATCCTCAACACACGTTCCCTGTCCCTCTACCTCTCCCCTTGACCCCCCCCCCCCCCCCCCCCCCCCCCCTCCACACACACACGTCGCAATGGGCTGATCACCGACTGGGGTGTGGGATCACACACGCCATGGCAAATGGTCAACGCGATAGGGCATAACCAAGGAGTGTTCCGCCCCCACTTTATGGTAATCTTGCTTCAATCAGTTCGTTATCATTCGGTTGTCTGCCGAGTCATTTCGTGCCTATTCACTCGACCATCATTGCGCTCGCCGTAACTCGCGCAGTTTTTTACTAGGGGAAATTGGAAGGTTCAAGACTGTGGTCTTACCGCTTTGGGGGTGTGTTATGCGCGCAGGCGTTTTCCCACCCGTACGTACCATCAAACTGATGGTACCCAGGGAGAGACTGAACATGTGCACCTAAAGTCAAAGCAAACCATAGCGTCATTCCAATTTATATATATAAAAAAAAAGATTAAGCGACGGCGAGTGAGAAACTTTTTTTCAAATTACCACTAAGTCCCTCTACATCAAGAGATTTTAGAAGTGCGTTCTATAAAATCCTGAAAATTATACAGCTTGGAAGTGACGGAGAGGAGGTGCGGGTCTTCTGACGTCCTCACGTACTTTCTTCTTCTCCTCTTACTCAGTTTCTAACCATATAAGTATAAGAATACTTTCCCTAACTATTCGTATTTTATATTCCAGTAAAGATACGATTTATTGCAATGGACGAAACGCTTAGACCTTCCAACAAAAAATTCAAGGTGGAAATACAGGTAAGCAATGTCGTATTTTCATTTTCATTATCCACTGTTTTAGCATAACCGCGGGCTCTGCGATATGTTCTTTGCTGCGTACAATATTCGATCGTTTTCTATTCGCGTTACTTTGTTATCCAACCAGACGTGTTTCCTAAATAAAATGGAAGAATGCGTTCGAATTATAATTACTCTTTTATTTTAAAAAGGGCGACCATCGTGTTCGAAAAAGTAAGATTAGTATCTTCTAAGACTATCTCATGATAGCCTTAGAAAACGAAAAACCTCGAATTACGACTAAGAACGCGTGCAGGCAAGCTGGTTGAAAAACGATATAGTTTAAAACCCAAGACAGAAAACAAAATACATTACAACACTGAGTATCAATTCTAGGAGTTACTGTTGGGGCAGGCAACCTTGACTATGCTCTGGGCATGTCAGGATGCAACAGTCCAGGGCGTTTCTTGGTACATATATCAACAAGCCCAGCAAATATTCTCGCCCTATTGAAAATTCCATCAAGCTACGTAATTTGGGACACTGACTGCCAGTCAGCAGCCTTGGTGGAACGTGATGGACCATCAGACGTTATCTGATGGTCCATCAGATGACGTCTGACTGCCACTGCCAAGGGAATTTCATCAACAAGGGCAGCATTTATATAAGAGTAAAGCTTACGCACTCATAAATATCGCCAAATGCCTCGATAAAACAAAATGTCCGAGAAAAAAAAAAAAAAGCAGGATCACCGCGCATCGAACCCGCGACCACTTGCGTACAAATCGGACACCTTAACCTCTATGCTATGCCCACACTTAGGAAACTCGATTTGACCATTCTTTTCATACGAGATGCTTCGGCTGCAAATGCAGTTAAGCCGTCAGCATGTTATGCAAAGCACTCGTACATCACTCGCCGTACTTCAGTTCTACTCACCTGCCATGTAGAGTACTTTCGCGTCGTAGAACGATCCTTTTGTTCGCGCGTCACCGGCCCAGTAGACCTGGTACACCTCGTCGTCTTCAACTACACCGCTAAAGTCCCTTACATCGTCGGAACTCACAACAGGCTGGGTCTTGTCGAGTAGAAATTCTACTAAAACATAAGACATTGTAGAGCCCGGGCAGGATCGACAGCTTGGAGCAAGCGGGCAAACAAAACGAGTCGAGAGCGATCGTTCATGAAAGCTCGGCGAAGCCTCTATGGGCGAAGCGAAGTGGCGAAGTGTCGTGTTCGGCCTGTTCGGCGCTTCGGCGGGCTTCTGATCAAGGTTGTCGGTCGGTTGCGTGTCATATCTCTAACGTCAGCGGTTTTATGGGCTCACGTCCCGAAATCGTTTTCTCGTGCATAGATTACTTTTCGTATTCATAGATTTGACGAAATAGTGGTATCCGAACGAACTTTACGTCCTTTGACCGTACGTCTGTCTGCACGTCAAAGCTTTTTGACGTACAGTCAGAGACAATCGATGTACAGTCAGAATCGCCACCAAGACATCCTGATGGCATTTCGCGGCGGCCAACTGCCACCAGGAAACCATCAGAAAGCCGGCAAGCGGGGTCTGACTGGAGTTTGACTGTCGGTCAGGGTAACTTGTTGGCCAATCAGACATGCTTGACGTACAGTCAGGCACAGTCAGCGGTCCACTAGAAAACATTGACTGCCAAACAGGGTTACATTGATGGATTTTTCCTTCGGGCGTTCGCAGTCAGGGTGGCGTATACTCTTGTTGGACGAAAAGCGTATTGGTGCCAATCAAGATTCAAGATTGAAGTTGTGTTGTGTGTCCTGCATGTCTATCCTTCCTTAATAATAATAATATCTTTATTTCAATCTAATAATGGGGGCCCAAAGGAAAAAAAAGCTGCAACAGGCAGCTTGACTAGTCCTCGGGCCCCTTACACTGATGAGCAGGAAGCATGCGAAAAAATACAGAAAAGGCAAAGTATACAGTGAAACCGTTGCGCATCTACGGTTGACATTTGTACAAACCAAGGTTAACGGAAGTGTAAATTATAGAATAGAAGCGAAAAAAAAATTACGTACAAAAATATAAGTGCACGTCCTTGAAAGTTAAATCAGTATTGTCAATGCAACGACTATTTAGGAAACGTGGAATGTAAAATTTAACATTTGATAGCCATAGTTTGTTCGTTGCGTGGCCATCCTGCATTCCTCTGCGTTGCGAGTAGAGTAATGTGGGGAAATTTTTCTTAACGACACAATTATTTCCAGAAAACAGAAGCCTTCTTTTCACTTTTAAAACTAGTACCGAGTCTGTAATAATTAAATTTATAAATGCTAATTATTTTACAGTTCTTAAATAAATCGGCAAAATGAAAGTCACAGGGCACATTAAATATTCGTCTCAATATCTTTTTCTGCAGCAAAAACAGTTTTTCTGTATCAGTCATTGTGGATGTGCCCCAAACTAGAAGAGAATACGTTAAACGGGAATTGAGTAGTGATTTATAGATCAACAATTTAATCCTCGTTGATACAACAGATCGGTAGCGATTTACGAATCCCACTATTCAAGCATGCTTTGGAACAATAGAGTTGATATTATTATTCGAGCTCATTGTTTCACTAAAAAACACTTCAAGAGTTTTGAAAGAACTAACGATTTCGACGGGAGACGGGTCAAAGCGGAGAACCTTCGATATAACCAGAGACCTATTTTTTGGTAAACAAATGGCTGTTTTCATCTTAATAATATTAATTTTCAGCGAATCGCTATCCCCCAGCCTTTTATATTTAATAAAGTGAAGTTCGCCTAGCAATTATTTCGTCACAAGTTTCGTCAGAAAAAAAAATACTAAAGTAGCATCTGCATGAATGACAAATTTCGCCTTAGTATTTACGCTGATTATATCATTAAGGCACACATTAAAAAGAAATGGTCCCAATATGCTTCCTTGTGGAACACCTGACGTAATACATCTCACAGTAGAAGAATGACTGTTCATGTTAGCATAGTGCTGGCGTTGTCGTAAGTATGACTGTAAAAGAAGTAGGGCAAGTCCGTGAATGCCGCACATTTCAAGCTTTTTGAATAATGCCTCGTGATTAAGACAGTCAAAGGCTTTTGCAAAATCTACGAACACCCCTAGAACAAAGTTTTTACTGAAACTTTTCTAAAATATATTATTTTTGATCAAGTCTTTGTTGAACAGTTTTTTTCTGAAACCAAATTGCGAGGAAGTTATGAGGTCACATTTATTCTAGAAGTCTTCTAAACGATGATACAGTAACCTCTCCAAAGCCTTAAAAAATACGGGCAATATAGAAATAGGTCTATAGTTGCCCAACTCATTTCTATCGCCTTTTTTCTGCAGTACAGACACCTTAGCTCTTTGCATTATTCTGGAAAACACACCAGACTTAAAAAGGAAGATTAAACATATAAGTTAACACGGGAGCAATCAGGTCGACAACATACTTATGGGGCAAATTCGCATTCAATCAGCGTCACAGCTACCGCTACATTTTAGGTGCAAAATCACATGAGTTATTTCTGGATTAGGAATTGGCTCTAAAAGTATAGATCTAAAGTTTCTCTGACAAATATATTTAGAAAAGTCATTAGTATCGGCAATACTTGATATATTTACAAAATATACATTAAACATATTTGCCGAGTCTAGGTCGGTTAAACCTACACTTTTATACTGCAATGTCTCAATGGTGTTTGATACAGCAAACCCCTTAACCAACGACCAACATGTTTCCCTATTACGTCAGTACCACTATTTGCCGACGAGAAAAGGGAAAAATAATAAATTTGTTTGGGAATTCCTTAGCTCCTTGGTCAAGTTGTCACGATAAGACTTAAATTCTTTAAGAACATCCGGGTTGCGTGTTTTAACGAACCCTTTATATAGTATATCTCTCTAACGTATTCCTTTGATCAAACCGGACGTCACCCACGGTTTACGCATCTTGTTTGATATTTTTACGGGTTTATATGAAAAGAGATGTTTATACAGTTTGAGAAATTGTTCTAAAAATAAGTTATTGGCGTAATCAACCTTTTCTTCCGTAAACACCATATTCCAATCTACAGCTGTAACGTCTCGTATAAAAGCATCGAGACTATTTTTATCAATGTTTTGGAAAAACGCAGGTTGGCATTTTGTTAGGTTTCGAGATTAAGCTGAACACATAAGAAAATGGGAAGATGGTCACTCAAGTCACAACTTATAGCTCCACGGTTCACTCAATCTGTATGAAAATCAGTTATAAGCAAATCTAAAATGGTTTTTGTTTCTAAAGTAATTATTGTAGGACTGGCTATCGTGTTGATACATCCGTACATGCTAACTACGTACTCCATTTTCCTTTTGGGAAAACTGCAGAAGGCATATCAACATTAAAAGCACCCCCACAAATGACGCCATATTGATTCTCATTTGTTAACATAAAAAAGACTCAAGAATTGCTGAAAAGGATGACATGCTACCGTCCGGTGGGCGATAAAAAGCCGCGAAAATATCTTGATTGTCACGTAAGCCCAACGCTTCTACATCTTTCGTGATAAAAGAATAGTCACTTAGTAGTTCACAGTCGATACCCTTTTTAATCAAGAAAGCCAATCCTCCGCCCCGCTTTAAAGTGCGATTTAAAACATGCGTATTATAGGATTGTAAACTAAAAATATCTGAGTTATCTTTATACCAGGTCTCGGTAAGCATTATGTTATCAAAAAGAACACCGAACTGATCAAAAATCAATTCAAGGTCGGCTTTTTTGTTGACTGCGGACTGCGCGTTTAAATGAAAACAATTTAAATGTGAACTACATTATTTCTCGAGGAGAGCCGTTGCTTCATCAGGGAGTAGTGGCTGAAAATAACTACTCTCTGCGTGAGGTTATTGGGGCAAAATTTAGAAATCTAAGCATCATCAGTATACAACTACGATGGAATGCTTTGCAAATCTTCATCACTCCTGATCACAAAGGCATCATCGCCATCTTTGCGTTTAACAAAGATTTTACCATTTTTGTGCCACACATAC